TCGACTTTTCAGTTCTGGCTTTGATGGCATTTGTTCTAATTGCCTGTTCTTGAGCTGCAAGAATCAAGCCCTCAGTCTCCTTTTTCAAATAATAATAATAATAATAATAATAATAATAATAATAATAATAATAATAATTACACAAGGAAGCCAGAATCTTGAATTTGCAAGACCTGAGCAGGACTGATGTTAAAGGGATATTTTGAAGGGATCTCATTCATAGAAGCTAATCAGATAGAAATTTACAAGAAGAAATCCTCATGCACCAGACCAAGTAATTTTCTTACAAGAGCGAAACTATATAACAGTATGTAGCACATAAAGCCAGGTTGAATATTGAGTTCAATTCCAAACTTGAGCAAAGGATAAACATATGCTATGAGGGGAGAAATAAGTTGCATCTGCTTTCTGGTACTGATTTTTTGTAGCTTTAATATATTAAAAAAAGGTGAAGCCACTGAAGCAACAGCTGATTTCTTATTATCAAGTACAATAGGAGGTAGATTGCATCAAAAGAAGGGCTCTTGAGACAACCTTGTTTATCTTGGCATCTTCCAGAAGGGTCGATGATTTCAGCTTTTTAATTGATTTTAAGGCTACAATTTTAGTCCCAGTTACCTGGGAGAAAACATCACCAAACTCAATGGAATATACTTCTGAGTAGATTGCACTATTTTTGGATATACATTTATTTTCAAATTTACCGGGTCTTTAATCTAAATCTAGAGCAGTGGTTCTCAACCTTCCTAATGCCATGACCCTTAACACAGTTCCTCATGTTGTGGTAACCCCCAACCAGCAAATTATTTTCATGACAACTTCACAACTGTAATTTTGCTACTGTTATGAAGCATAATGTAAATATCTGATATGCGGGATGTATTTTCATTCACTTGACCAAATTTGGCAAAAATACCCGATACACCCAAATTTGAACAATGGTGGCATTGGGTAGGGGATTGATTTTGTCATTTGGGAGTTGTAGTTGCTGGGATTTATAGTTCACCTACAATCAAAGAGCATTCCAAACTCCACCAATGATGGAATTGAACCAAACTTGCCACACCGAATTCCCATTACCAGCAGAAAATACTGGAAGAGTTTTGGAGTTGTAGTTCACCTACATCCCGAGAGCACTGTGGACTCAAACAATAATGGATCTGGACCAAATTTGACATGACAATCAATATGCCCAAATGTGAACTCTGCTGGAGTTTGGGGGAAATAGACCTTGACATTGGAAGTTATAGTTACTGGGATTTATAGTTCACCTACAACGAAAGAGCATTCTGAACCCCACCAAGGTTAGAATTTGGCCAGACTTCCCACACAGAACCCCCTTGACCAACAGAAAATATTGTTTTTTCTGATGGTCTTTGGCAACCCCTCTGACACCCCCGCGACCCCCCAGGCCCGTAGCCAGGATTTCGTTTCTTCGGGGAGGGGGGGGGGCTGAATTTTTTTCAGGGGGGTTTCGGGGGGGGGGGGCTGGGTCTGGGAAAGAGGGTCTACCCTAGCAAACCTTTTGTATCATTACCCCAATACCCCCATGTATATGGGATATATTGAGCATGGTGATCAGATCATGATATGAATAAACATAACAGTTTAAATAATGTACCAGTAAGGCCTTCTTGTGGACCATCTGAGAATTTGGGGGGGGGGGGCTGAAGCCCCTCAAGCACCCCCCCCCGCTACATGCCTGCCTCCAGGGGTCCCAACCCCCAGGTTGAGAAACGCTGATTTAGAGCAAATGACTCCTGCTTCCTATTCTGTGTTTAGTATTCCATTCACTGTACAATGGGTGACAACAGTAGTGGATGGATGCACAAAGATTCTTGCCCCCTTTTTTGACCATGAAGATATTATTTATTTATTTATTACAGTCGCTTATACCCCGCCCTTCTCACCCCGAGGGGGACTCAGGGCGGCTTACACAACAAGGCACAATTCGATGCCCGCATTACATGACAACAAAACATAACATCAATAACAATAGCAATTATAACAATGATAACAATTAACCTAAGCAGTCATTATTATCGGCAACACATCCAAAAAACCCATAAAGTAAAAGATATATTCACAACTCAGCTGCCAAGCAGCCTAAATTTTAATGTATTGTTGAAGGCTTTCATGGCCAGAATCACTGGGTTGTTGTAGGTTTTTTCGGGCTGTAAGGCCATGGTCTAGAGGCATTCTCTCTTGATGTTTCGTCTGCATCTATGGCAAGCATCCTTTGTTTTTTTTTTTGTGTTTTTGTAGTTACTTGGATTTATAGTTCAACTACAATCAAAGTGAGGTGACCTCTGAGGATGCTGGCCATAGATGCAGGCGAAACGTCAGGAGAGAATGCCTCTAGACCATGGCCATACAGCCTGAAAAAACCTACAACAACCCAGCCTAAATTTTGCTGATCCGCCCAGAAAAAGACCATACAATAGTATTGGAAAAATAAAATGTGCAATCAGTTTCACTTAGGGAGACGTCATCTCTCTGCACATGCTCACAGGCGTTCCAGCATTTGCTGGGGTGGGTGAAGCTTTTTGGCAACCATAAGGTTATGTTGGTTTTTACCCACTTGTTATAAATGGGAAACTGTCAAGAAAACTGCCCACGGGAAATTAATAGTCAACCAAAGCACGATTTTCAGAGCTAGCTCCAAAATAGTGGCTCTGGAAGGCAGGGCACAGAATTGCTGAACAAGGGGCTTCTGAGTTCAGGCAAGGAACTCATTTTTCAGTTCCAAATTTGGAACCTGCACAATAATCCTTTTGCACGCACATCTGCCACTGCCTTCTATCACTTCCTCTTCATCTCAGCAGCGGAGTTGTCGTTGTTTTGATTTTTAATTTTATATTTGTATTTGTATTTGTGCTTATGCACTCCTGGAAGAAGGCCATTGAAAAATACATCTCTAGGCTGAAATGCATTCCCAAATTACAAATTAAGAAAATTAAATATAAAAACTAAGAAAAAAATCAATGTTATGAGCATTTTGGAGATAAATCTCTTCTCTTTTCCTGTGGGAATTGTAGTCTTTTTAGCAGTCCATATTAAAATCTCTTCATTAGCACATGTCAAAAGAGTTGATTTACTTGGTGCTAACTTTTTTCACTGTCCACTTTTCACAACATCCATAGAAATAGATATATGACGGGATGGACAATCCTACCCTTGATATCCAATCAGAGGCGGCCCTAGGTAGTTTTCAACGGTAAGCAAACAGTATTTTGGCACCCCCCCCCACCCAACCAATCACTGATATATATTTTCTGTACGTCGTGGGAGTTCTGTGTGCCATATTTGGTTCAATTCCATCATTGGTGGAGTTCAGAATGCTCTTTGATTGTAGGTGAACTATACATCCAGTAACTACAACTCACATATGTCAAGGTCTATTTTCCCCCAAGAGTGCCTCAAGAGCACCCCTGGGCAAAATCAACTATACTGCAAATGCTTACTTTGTGTAATGGGTTGAGCCGCCCCTGTATCCAATAAACCCTCTTTACAGTTCAGGATCTTGTTTAGTTCTTTCATAGTTGGCTTTCCAAGTTCTAGTCTACTACTGCTTTCTTGAATGCAGCTCCCATTTTGATTAATGACTGAGTTAAGGTATGGAAAATATTTCAATGCCTTCATTATCTACATCAAACTTATGTAAATCATCTGTCACCATTTTTTCCCTTAATACTTAACAGCAAACCTGTCTTTTCATTTTTTTCCCTTGATTTTCTTCAGTAACCATTCCAAGTCGTATTTTTTGCTAGTGGTATGGTATAATCTCCATATCACAATTATGAAGTCCTATTTTGGTGTGCAATCATTTTTTCTTCACTCTCTTTAGTCAGAAAATAAACTTGGATTATTGTTATATTGATGGTTCTTCCCTGATATGATTCAGTTGGACTTTGCCTTATATCCTTGTCTGCTTTTGCTATTTCTCTCTTCAGTATTAATGCTTGCCTATTTCTTCTTAGATTTTCATTTCCAGAGTAGAAGACTGTGTAATTCTATGACTCAAAATATCCCATTCCTGTCCATTTTTCTTCACTCAACTCACCGCATATGTTTTTAGGCCCTTTTTCTTGTTTTCCTATGTGTCGCTTCCCCGATTCATACTTCTCACATTCCATGTTCCTATAACATGTATTGTGCAGCGTTGGATGCTCCTTTCAACTCTGAGCTTGTGAACAGCTAAATGTCCTTTTGATTTGGGTTCAGTTTCACAATGCTACTCATAGCTGTCCTTTGCTCTACCCAATATTGTGTTGGGTGCCATCTAACCTGGCATTTTCATTTTTTTGGCGATGCCTCCTGTTTCTTTTGTCCCATGATAGGATTTTTGTTGTAAAAAGATATTCAAAAGTAAGCTTGCTGTCCCTTCTTCTGTGCAATATGACAAGTGTTAACTATGGTGCTATTACCATAGTCCCTGCTTTCTGCTACTGGTCTTATCCCTGCCCCACTAATAATAATAATAATAATAATAATAATAATAATAATAATAATAATAATAATTCTTTATTTATACCCCGCTACCATCTCTTGAAGGACTCGGTGCGGCTTACAAGAGGCTGAGCAAAAGTACATCAGTAAAAACAACAACAACAGCAATGCAAACAATAAATAAACTCATAAGCAAAGCAATAAACAGTAACAATAACACCACAACGCATTAAAAACCTATGGCAGGGCCAAATGCAATAATTAAAAAATTAAAAAATGCTGGGCATGACCAGGTGACATATTTGAAGAGAGATGAAGCAAGCAGAGAATCCTAGATCATTACTGCTGTTACTCCGTAGATGTTTGGCACATTTTGTCAGAGCCTATCTGACATGGAACCCTGTCAATGGTACAGCTGCCATCAGCATAACCTCTCTCCTTACAGGAACACACAATCATACCATTGTTGAAAGGTAGTGGCTTTGATGGGATCTCCTTAGGTGTCTTCCACTTATTCCATTCTAATCCCAGCTCTGGCAGATGTTACTCACCTTGCAATCCCTCCAGGCGGAAGGTCCTATGTTCCACCAGACCACAGCTCCTGTAGGGCCCATATCTAATCGTCACCAGAGCATTCTTTGGCATTGCTGGGCTCAGTCACAGTCTTTCTAAGCCTTGTTGAGAATGCGAATGGTCTCAGTAGCCTTTGGAGAGCTTCAGAGTGAAAAAAGTAATCTAGTCTGTCTTGCAAAGCAAAAGATAAAAATAGCAATACCAAAAACACTTGGGCATTTTCTGTTGATGGCTGCCTAGGAGCCCAGGAGGCTCCAATTGCATCAGTTGCATTACCCACAGTAGTCATGGTGAAGCCTGTTAGTTTCCTCTAATGGGGTGATGTCACAATGGAAAGCTCCTGATGTCATATAATGGAGAGCTGCTGATGCCATACTCATACCCTCCAATATCTCACAGATGAAAACCAGGTTACATGTGGTCAAGTAACATCATGTTGTAGACAAGAGGGCAATCTTTATTAAAGAGGAAGAACGCAGAAGGTAGGAAAAGCTACAGCAGTTTGCTTTTGCCAGAGAGCAAAAGGAAAGGACAAGATTCTGTCCTCTTCTCCCCTTGCTTAGATGCTTAGATGATCCATTCCTCAGCTTTTGCATGGATCACATCATTTCTATTCACATAATAATAATAATAATAATAATAATAGTAATAATAATAATAATAATAATAATAATAATAATAATAATCTTTATTTGTACTCCGCCACCATCTCCCCAATGGGGACTCGGTGCGGCTTACACGAGGCCAAGCCCAAACAACAATTACATAAAATAAAACCGAAAACACAAATAATGAACAATAATAATGCAATTACATAAAACAAATGAAAACATAGCAATATAAGATTACAATAAGCACAATCACAATGACATGGGCAAGCTACATGTAATGGATAAAAGAAAAGCTGATTAAAAGCAGAATAAAAACTCAGGCAAGATAAAAACAGAGACAGATTATTTGTGGAAAAGAGCTCATTATAGTGGAGGTCGTGGAGCCAAGCTTTCCCATAAGGAGGGAATGTACTCCAATAACAAAAAAACATTGAGGCTAAACATTAGTGTGAGGATGTAAATCTATTCATCAAATGCGCAGCGGAAGAGCCAGGTTTTGAGGTTCTTTTTAAAGGTTCCTAGGGTTTGTTTATATTTTGAGTTGAGTTGACCAGTATACTTATTGTACACTTTGATAAGATAATTGGATGCAAACTAATTTGGCTTGTTGAAGTAAGGTTGTAGCAATTGCAGTAAGCTGAGGACAAAAGAGGGCAAGTGGGAAGAGAGAGAAACTGGGACATTTTAAAAGTCACTGAAAAAGTAGTATGGCAGAGGATTAATCAGGAATCAGGACAGTTGGAGGGTATGGCTGGTGCCCAACTCTGTGGTGCTTAATTTTGAGAAAGAGGGTGTTGGAAAGGATATTAATGTAAGATTGAGAGTTTGAACATAGGGTTGGTAGGGGAGAAGGTTGGTGCCATAGTGAGTAGAGTCATGTCCTGCTGAAAAAGGTTGGTGCACGGCACCCAGGGGCTCCCCAGCAACAGATCACCCTGATGGGTGAGGGCTGCTGGTTGGTGACCATAGGCCTGCCTGCTCAGCCAAGTAACCTTCCCTGGACTGTAGTGATGGCATTGGATTAAATGAGAGAAAGGTTTCCAGTTGTGCATAAAGGGAAGGGATCAGGGAAAGTCCCTTCCTTCTCTTAATCAAGTGGTTCTGGACTAAAACTCCCAGAAATCACAGTCAGTTTACCAGCTGTTAGGATTTCTGGGAGTTAAAGGCCCAAAACATCTGGGGACCCCAGGTTGAGAACCATTGTCTTAATCCCTTTCCGTGGACCGAAAAGAGATTATGGGCACTGCTCTTGTGTAATGGCAGGTAGCTTTCTAAATGGGAACACACAAAGTATATCTGGTGGCGAGGAAGGTGAGTAGCCAATCAGATGAGATGGAATAGTAAAGTGCAGCAGGTAAACAGAGAAAATGGATAGAAAGGTTCCTGGAGAGCAAAGGGCTTTTGCCTGTTTTGAAGACCAGAAAAACATCAAGCAATTTAGGACCTCTTAAAATTTTGATGTCAACTCTGGTTCCACAGTGGCTCCTACCACACATCAGAGAAGTACTTCCAGGGCAGCTCTGTGGCAAAACTGCTACGGAACCAGAGTTGCTGCTGAAAAAGCCAGCAGCGGCAACACGGGAGACTTCCAGTGGTTGAATTGCCCTCAACAGGGTAAGCCAACCAGTGGATGCTTCCTCTCATGTGATAAGGTGGCGGGAATCTTGGATGGAGCAGGGCATGGGGCAATAGGTTCCTACACCCCTGGACGTGAACAGCCAGAATTTTCATGATCTGCGGTGATTTTGGCGGCATGTCTAAAGAGGTCCTTAGTCATCCATTGGACCACCCTCCTCTTGCCACTCATCGGTGGTTACTAAATGTTGAGGACAACATTTTGCTCCGTTTGCTCTGTTGAAGGGCTTTTGCTATCCTCTGACATACTGCAAGCAAGTTCATTCAGCCATACAGTCCAGTTTCATGGCAGTCAAAGCTTGGCTAAGTTCCTTTTTTTGGACCACAACTCCCAGAAACCTCCACTGGCTGAGCGATTTGTGAATTTCTATGGTTTTTCAAGAAGCAAGATTTCCCATTTTTCACACAACACATTATAACACTATAATTTCACTATAACTATCACGACTGTATCTTAGGGTTTGTATCTTGGTGAAGCATTAGAGCTCTCTGGCTCTGGTTCGAAAACTATGAATCCCAGCATTCCATAAGATGGAACTGCGAGGGTTCAAAGTGCAATCATAACACCATAATTGTAGAGTGACAAAGAGCCCCAGTGCATAATTTTTTTGGTCGTGTCAGGAGTCACTCCTGTTGTGAGAGAATTGGCCATCTGCAAGGACGTTGCCCAGGGGACGCCCGAATGATTTGATGTTTTTATCATCCTTGTGGGAGGCTTCTCTCATGTCCCCGCATGAGGAGCTGGAGCTGATAGAGGGAGCTCATCCGCCTCTCCCCGGATTCGAACCTGCGACCTGTCGGGTCTTCAATCCTGCTGGCACAGGGCTTTTAACCCACTGCGCCACCGGGGGCTCCTGGTGCATAATAATAAAAGTATATTGAAATCTTGTGTGTGTGGCCACAGACATTTTGAGCCTGATAACTTCCAGAATTCAAATTCTTTTAACATCAACTGTCCCAAATTAGTAATCCCAATTAATCCTCTGTTGTCCCACTTTTAGTTGCATTTAAACATGTCCCAGTTTCTCTCTCTTCTCCGACTTTTCCCTTTTATCACCAGCTCTCTTCATCTACTGCAAAATGAGTAGAAATTGCAAACACAGTTTGCACCCAATTAACTCAGTAGAAAGGAGAGGAAGGACAGAACCTTCCCCTTTCCAGTAGCCTTGATATTGTTTGGCTATCTATGAAATTTTGGAGTGAATGTCTTTAAAAGCCGAGGTTTGACAGGAAGAAAAACAAAAGGCACTCTGAATAATGATAACGTGTGTGTGTGGTTTTTTTTTTGGGGGGGGGGTGCACTGTCCCCTACACAATGACCTCTAAGTGAGACTTCAAGACAACTCTAACTCTTGGCATCTTTTTATAAATGAATGGTAACTGTTCATTCATTCCACTAAGAAGTGATCTCTTGGCAGCATGCCTGTCTCTGGCCACATTTTAATTTGATGAGAAGCATTATTTATTGGACCAATACTGGCAGTGAGTGTTGGACTTCATGAAGAAATATTGCTGGCTGCAACAAAAAGTCTTATCTAAACCATTTGGCATTTTATCTATCTTCAGCCGTCAGAGCAGAACAGCTATTGTTGCAATGGTTTTCATGGTTGACATTGGAAATATACGTTATGTGATGTTTGTAGCAGACCTATTCTTTGATCAGACTAGATCAGTGGTTCTCAACCTGTGGGTCCCCAGGTGTTTTGGCCTACAACTCCCAGGAATCCCAGCAATTTACCAGCTGTTAGGATTTCTGGGAGTTGAAGTCCAAAAACATCTGGGAACCCCAGGTTGAGAACCACTGGACTAGATTGATCGAAATGTCTGATATAGGCAGACAGTTCCACCTAGATTTTCATGATTCATCTGGGAAGGATAGTACAATTGGCCTATGGTATTGGAGAGGAAAGAAAAGAATAAAGAAATTTTAAGTATCTAAAGAGTCCACTTTTTACAACTATGAACCCTAAGCCTCTAAACACAACATTGTTAACAATAATAAAAAGCAAATGTGTGTCCAGAAGGACTTTGCTGAAATGCCAGGGCCAATGACAAGATCCAAAGTGAACTGTGACGTATTCTATAAAGGGATGAGTTCCCTTCAGATGTTGACATTGTTATCTTCCATCTATTCTGACTGGTTCTGATAGGAATCGTAGCTGAACAACTCCTAGAGAAGAACCCCTACAATAAGTACATTCTAGGCTTGTTTGATCCAAAAAGAAAAAAATGGTTCAAAACTCATTTTGGATGTAGTGGTTGGCTGGTGGTTCGATTCTAAAGTCAATTCTGATTTTCACAGAAAAGAATGTTCAAAACTTTTCGAAACTTCCAAGAGTTCCGAATCCTTCCTTAATGGCTTGAAAGTGTTATTTCCTGTTGCATTGGGTGGTCTTTACTTTGAAAGTAGTTTATTTATTTATTTATTTGGGGTTCTTTTACCCCACCCTTCTCACCCCGAAGGGGACTCAGGGCGGCTTACAAAAGCAAAGGCACAATTTGATGCCTGCATCATAAAACAATCATACACAAAATTACATTAATTCACAGTTAACAACAATTCATGCATTATAACCATAAAATCAATAAAATCAATTGTTGTTTTACTCCGGAAGGCGAGGGGAAGCAAAGGGAGGAAATTCATCCTTCTCTGGTTTAAAACAGCTTCTCTGGCTTGAAACAGAAGCGGGGGGAGAGGAAAGGGAGGAAATTCATCCACTCTGGTTTAAAACGGCTTCCCAGGCTTGAGACAGAAGCAGGGGGAGAGGAAAGGGAGGAAATTCATTCACTCTGGTTTAAAATGGCTTCCCTGATTGAGGCATAAAA